CATAGCACCCCTGGACTCTATGAGTTGACCTCTTTGAGCTGGCCGGCCGACCCAAGGTGAAAGCAACCCCCGGACCAAGCGGCCAGGACGATATGTTCGCCACCGACGCCGCTGAGGAGCTGAACCCGCGCGAGGCCACAGCCTACAGGACTATGTTGGGAAAGGTGCTCTATATGAGCAACGAGCGGCCGGACGCCCAAGCAGTGATCCAGAACCTTTCCTCCCGGGCGGCCAAGCCAACAGCCAAGGCGATGAAGTTGATCAAGCACCTGGTTGGGTACCTTTGGGGGACCCAGGGTTATGGTGTCAACCTCTGCCTGGCCCCCGGCAAGTCTGTTATGAACTTCGCGCGCGGCAAGCTGACCCCCGACGAGCCCATCACCGAGCACCTTGTGGAAGGCTACTCCGACTCCAATGTCGCCAACGACCGGACCACCCGCAAAAGCCTGAGCAGCGGCCAGATCTACATCGACCAGGCGCTCATGTATAGCTTTGTGCGCGGCCAGAAGGTGGTTACCTTGAGCTCTGGCGAGGCGGAACTTGTCGCCTTGACCCAGGCCACCAGCGAGGCGATCTTGGTGCACAAGGGCTGGGTTTGGACCACACAAGAGGAGGCCAAGCTGGTGATGAGGAGCCTGAGGAGCGACTCGTCGGTGGCAAGAGCCATCGCAAGCCGGCTCGGAGTCGGCCGAGTGAGGCATTTGCAAACAAGCTGCCTTTGGATACAGCAGTGGGTGGCAGCCAAAACGCTACGTGTGGCGGCGGTGCCCACCCAGTTCAACCCAAGCGACATGGGCACGAAGAGTTTGCAACAAAGGCGGCTGAGGATGCTGTGCTTCCTGGCTGGCATGGTGGACGACCATGGCAACCACATTGGCCAGGAGGAGCACGCCGAAGCGCTTGGCCGAGTCCGAGATGTTTTGGGACGTTCTGGCGGCGACCTTATGGTGAGGATGGTGCAGGCCTTGATGGTTATGACCATGCAGGGCTGCAGTGGCCCGGACGGCGGCCAAGCGGGAGTCTACCTGGAGGCGGTGTTGTTCTACTTCCTGGAGGTGTTCTACAACAACCCGGTCTTCTTCCTTGCGGCCCTTCTGACCTACGTGCTGGTGACCAGCAGGTGGACCCTGAGCTTCAGCGTCTCGAGCCGAGGCCCAGCCGGCTCAGACGCAGCCACCCAGACGGACAACAAGACCGCCGACAAGAAGGAGAGCAAGCCCAAGGGAACCAGACCCAACAAGCAGCCCGAGAAGGAGACCAAAAGCCAAAGGGAGCCACCCCGTGAGCCAGAGACACTGGAGGAGGCGAGACAGAGGCTGCACGAGACCCTGACCTACGAGGACCTCTTCACTCCGGGACCAGGGCTTGAGCAGGCTACGGATGTAGCCCCGGAGCCGGCGGCCAGCGCTTCCTCGTCGGCTACACGATTCCCCTCAGGGAGATCTGAGGCTCGAGTGGCTTTGTCTGTACAGAGACGCGGTTTCCTGGAATGCGCTACCAAGTGCCTGAGCGGGCACGACCTGGACACCGAGTGTTGGGTGACGGAATTCGGGTATGCTTATCACCGCCGCTCCTGCGGCAACTTGAAGCATGCCAAGAATGTGAAAAGAACGACGGCCCGAGAAGCCATTGAGAATGGAAAGGCGGCGTGCAACCAGTGCTTTGCAGATCACTGGGTGCCGACCGTCAAGTACAGGTTCCCGGGTTTGAATCTTTAGTTGCAGCCAGTATTTCTGAAAGAAATATTGGCTGAGGGGGCGTGTTAGACCTAACAAACCCCTGGTGCAGGCATACAGTGCCATGAGTGCAGTGAGCATTGCAACATGCGATGTGGAGATTTCTGAGTGCGAACCACAGCCCTTCTGTGGCAAAAAGACCAGAGCGATTTGTTGTTTTTCAGAACAGCAAGAGAGAGGCAGAAGCAGAGGCAGCAGCAAAGGCAGCAGCAGAAGAGGAGAAGAAGAAAGCAGCAGCAGCAGCAGCAGCAGCAGCAGCAGAAGAGGAAAAGCAGAGGAAAGCAGCAGGAGCAGAGGAGAAGAAGAGCCAGAAGGCAGCCGCAGCAGCAGAGGACAGGAAGAAGATGGAAGCAGAGGAAGTAGAAGCAGAGAAGCGAAAGGAGAAGGAAGCCAACAAGGAAAAGGAAAGGATCGCAAAGCTCGAGAAGGAACTTGCGGAGCTAAAAGGAGAAACAAGGAGCGAGACAGGAAGCACAAGAGGAGAAGAAGGAAAGACAGAAAAGAAGGAACAGACCCGCAGCAGCACAGAAGACCCAGAAACTACAGCCAAAGGACATGTAAGCAGCGAAGGTTTTGTCAGAGGAGCACCAAAGTTTGAAGAGGACACTGACAAGAACTTTTACGCGGTCTACCCGTTCGACGGGAACGACTACCAGTACTGGTACAAACAAAGTTGACGCTGTTCCACTTCCACTAGTGGAAGTGGAACAGCGTCAACTTTGTTTGTTTTTTCGACCTTGAGAAGCGCCGCTGGTACAAACAGGAAGGCAAGGACGTGAAAGGCAAAAGCGTTTGCCTAGCACAGGAACAGAAGTTTGTCAAGTAAACGCAGCAAAAACCGTCTATGAAAGACGAAAACCTTAAAGAGTAAACCCAGCAGGAACCTCTGGCCGAAGACGAAAACCCTGCGGAGTAAACCCCGCAAACCTTTGGCCGAAGACGAAAGCCCTAAGAAGTAAACCCAGCGCGAACTTTTGACCAAAGACGAAAACCCTAAGGACTAAACCCAGCAGGCCGAAGACGAAAACCCTTAGGACTAAACCCTGCAGGAGGCTTCTACGAAAGACGACAAACCCCAAGGGGTAAACCCCGCAGGAACCTTTGGCCGAAGAGGACAACTGTAAGGAGAAAACCCAGCACGAACCTTCTAGAAAAGACGAAAACCAACAGGAGTAAACCCAGCAGGAACCTTTGGCCGAGGACGAAAACCTTAAGGAGTAAAACCCAGCAGGAACTTTTGGCCGAAGACGAAAACCCTAAGGAGTAAACCCAGCAGGAAGCTTGTACGAAATACGAAAATCCTTCAGGAGTAAACCCAGCAGGAAGTTTCTGCCGAAGACGAAAACCCTGTGAACTAAACCCCACAGGAACTTTTGGCCGAAGACGAAACCCTAAGCAGTAAGCCCAGCACGAATATGTGAAATAAGACGAAAACCCTGAGGACTAGACCCAGCAGGAACCTCTGGCCGAAAAAGAAAACTCCAAGGAGTAAACCCAGCACGAACCGTCTACGAAAGACAAAAACCCTGAGCAGTAAACCCAGCAGGAACCTCTGGCCGAAGACGAAAACCCTGAGGCACGAAGCTTGCTGGAAAGATGAAAAACTCCAAGGACTAAGCCCCTGAGTAAACCCAGCAGGAACCGTCTGGCAAAGACGAAAAAACCCCTAAAGAGTAATCCCACCATGAACTTTAGGCCGAGGACGAAGACCCAAAGGAGTAAAACCAGCAGCCTTTGTCTGAAGACCGAAACCCCGAGGAATAAAGCCCCCGTAACTTTTTCACTCCGAAATAGAGGGAAAAAAGTCATAACTAGGCTGCGTGTTTTTGTTAGACCTAGCAAACCCCTGGTGAAGGCATACAGTGCCATGAGTGGAGTGTGCATTGCAAGACGCAGTGTTGACAATTCTGATTGCAAACCGCAGCCCTTCTGCGACGAAAAGAGCAGAGCGAGTTGTTGTTTTTCATGGTAGCGGAGCACCTGGCCGACCAGGTGTCTCCTTAGCTGCCCGTTGCCGGTAGTGTGAGCCCGCCTTTGGCGGCATCTGCATCCTCGCGTGCCGTGCTCTCTCGCGCTGACTTTTGTAGTCGAGGTGCTTCCTGGAGCCGCCACGAGGGCGGTAACGAAAGTTGGTTGGGCGCTAGGCGCCGCAATTTTCCTGTGTGGGCAAGCTTCTTTTGGTTTGGTGGTTTGGAATTTGGGCAGCCGGCCGTCGTCAGCAACCCTTGGCCGAGCAGCTTTGTTAAGTCAGGGCTCCTTGCGGGCCCCACTTTCCATGGCGGCTGGAGCAGCCACGGCGGCAGCGGCAGCCTCGCAAGCCGCAGCAGCGGTTTTGAGTACCACCGAGGCCTTCCGTCGCACCGACCTCCTGAGGACCCTGGTGCAGAAGCCCGACGTCTACAAGCCCACGACAAGGGACCAGGAAATAGAGTCCTGGTCGGACTGGAAGCATGGACTCAAGAACTACCTGTCCGTGGTGGACGCAAAGTACGTGGAGGAGATGGAGGTGATCGAGAGCGACCCTTCCCGGCCGTCTTCGATCTCTACGATGGCAGATGACACAAAGCGAAGGGCCCGGGAGCTTTACTCCATCCTGGTGTCCTTCATGCGAGGGCGCCCGGCCAAGCTGGCCCGGGCCATCACCGACCAGAACGGGTACGAAGTCTGGAGGACCCTGACAATGGAAATGCAGCCCTCAAGCAGGCAGCGCCAATTGGCGCTGGTGGCGCAGCTTTCCACGGTCCGCTTCGACCCGGCCAAGTCGCTCTCCGAGCAGGTGACCCGCTACGAGGAGATCATCGCTGAGTATGAGCGGATATCTTCTTCGAAGTTCTCCGAGGACCTCAAGATAACGACTTTGGTGCAGGCTGCCCCTGCAGCCTTGCAGGTGCAACTTCATATGAGCCTCAACGCGGAGACCACCTACGCCAAGCTACGAGAGCAACTTTTGGCCTACGAAAGATCGACAACGCACTGGCAAGCGAGCTCTACCTTGACTCTGCCGACGACCTCTACGACCTCCCAGGACACCGGCGGCCCCATGGACGTGGACCGCGTGGAGCGCGAGGCCAAGGGCAAGAAGGGCAAGGATAGGAAAGGCAAGGGCGACCCAAAAGGAAAAGGAAGAGGGAAAGGTGGCAAGAACGACGCCATCGCCAAGCCCAAGGCGAAGCCGAAAGGTGAGTGTTGGTATTGCGGCAAAACCGGGCATTTTGCCCGAGACTGCAGGGCAAAGGCCAAGGAGGGCAAGGGCAAGGGCGGCGGCAAAGTTCAGCAGGTGACCCAGGAGGAGACGCCGACCCCACCACCGAGCTCTTCCTCGCTGCCCCCGTCTTCGGCGAGTACATTGTCTACATCTACGGCCGCGACTCAGCAACAGCCCAGAGCCGTGCGCCGTGTGAGAATGGTGACTCCGCCAGGCGTTCCCAGCTGTGTGGTGTACGACATCTCCGAGGACACCCTGCCGGCTGAGGACCAGGACCGGGACGAGGACGAGTACTACGCGGTGTGGGCCGTAAGGTTTGGAAGTGGACGGGGCACGGCCCAAGGGAGCCACGACCCCAGCGACGAGGACATCCTGGACACCGGCGCCGACGCCTCCATGGTCCCAGAAAGCTTGCGAGAACTGGGGGCTGCAGTGCCAAGCAATGTTTGCCCGCCTCGCCTTTGCGATGCCCAAGGAAACGCTATTCCTACCCACTCCCTTCGCCAATACGAGTTCTGGCTTCGGAACGCCAAGGGCAATGCCTACTGCATCCGCGAGGTGTGCGTGGTGGGCCGTGTCAAGGTACCTTTGCTGGCGGTGGGGAAGCTGTTCCGCAAAGGCTGGAGTTTAGTGCATAAAGATGCGGGGCTTTCGCTTGAGGAGCCCTACGGCCTCCACCACACCCCCGTGAAGTTCAAGAACAACTCCCTGGCTGTGGCGGGGGAGATTCGGGCGATCACCGAGGTGCCGCGGACTTTGCCACCGCGGGTGCCGAAGGTGACACTCACTGAAGAGATGCAGGGCCTTGTGGGCAAGGAAGGGATGCACGTGCTGGCGGACGGCACCAAGTTTCACTGTACCGCCCGTGCCAGCCACCTCCTTGACGCGAGGCCGTGGTACGACCCGAACTTCTTCAAGGCCAGGACGACCCTTTTCCAGAGCAACTCCGGGCAATGGCTGCAAGTGGAAAACAGCGCAGACTACGTCAACGAGCCCAATCTGTTTACCTTAGCCAGCAGCCACCCGAAGCCCCGGATTACAATGATTTCGTCTTCGCCGTTCTCTGTGGACTTCTTCCCGGAGGGCGGGGTGCCACCCAAGCCAAGCGAGGAGCTGCTGAGGCTCTACCCGCAGCCCATGGAAGACGTGGCGGCACCCAGCATGCCAGATGACGTGGCGCCACCAATGACGCCATGGGACGAGAACGCCCAGAACACCAGAGGACGAGAACCCACAGAACACCGAGGACGAGAACCCGCAGAACACCAAGGTCCCGAACCCGACGGCGATGATCTAGCGATGCTACCGCAGGGTCTGGAGCAAGAGGAGCTTGAGGCGTATGCCGCGAACAATGCCGCAGAGCAGCTCCAAGGTCTTGACCGAAGGGACCCGGTGCCACGATCACAGCCAGAAGGCCCACCGAGCGCAGAGGAGGTGGCAGCCCACAACTTGACACACGTGCCGTTTCAGCGTTGGTGCGAGAGCTGTGTGGCAACAAGGAGCCGAGCCGATGCCCACCACACCGGAGCCAACCGTGAGACTAAGGTGCCTGTGGTGCAAATCGACTTCTACTTCACCTCCCTCGACGACCATGCCAGGCCAGCCGGACAAGGTGAGCAGGACACGTGCTGCTTGATTGGGGTCGACCTCGAGACCAAGATGGTGCTCTCCGTGCCGGGCCCCAACAAAGGAGCAGTCATTTTGCACAGGGCGGCCGAGGAGGTCACCCGCTTCACTATTTCCCTCCATGGCGACGAGGCTGTGATTTTGCAGTCTGACGGGGAGCCCGCCATCAAGGCTGTTGCCCGAGCCGTGGCCGCAGCCAGGAGCAAGCTTGGAAAGAAAACCTTGCAGCGAACTACGCCTGTGGCGGCCCACCAGAGCAATGGAGGAGCAGAGCGTGCAGTGCAAACCGTGAGGCGTTTGGGGACGTGCCTTTTCCACGCCTTGGAACTCAAAGCCGGGACTTTCCCGGCGGACACGCCTTTGAAACTGTGGGCCCAGGTCCACGGGGCTTTCCTTTACAACCGGTTCCACGTGCTGCCTGGAGTCCTGCAGACCCCCTACGAGTTGGCGTATGGCGGCCGGAAGTTCACCAAGGCCCTTTGCGTTTTTGGGGAAACTGTGTTTGGACAGGTCTTGCGGACACACAAGGGCGAGCCCAGGTGGATTAAAGGCCTATGGGTTGGTATGAGCACCACCTCCGGGGCAAACCACCTGATGACCACCTACGGCCACATCCAGAGCGAGAGCGTCCGCCGGGCCAGCGAGGAGCAGCAGCTTACAGCGAACCAGGTGGAGGACATGTGCATCACTGGTTGGCCCTGGAACCGAGACCATGTGGAGCAGCCCCGACGGCGCAAGAAGGAGCCGCGCCGAGCCGAAGCAGCCCCGACACTGGAAGCAGGAGTCCAGCTACCTCTTGGTGCTCCCCCAGGGCACCCACTTCTTCCGGAGGAGGACAACGAGGCACAAGCAGTCGAGGCAGCAGCCAAGGGCAAGGAGGTTGACACCGACAGTTCGGAGGAGCTGCGCCCAGCCGACCCGAAGGACGTGGCGCTCTTGAGAAGCCCGTCGCGGAGTGCAAGACCAAGCCCGTCGAGAGCCAGGAGCCCATCGAGAAGCCCGTCGTTCTCACCGTCGTTTTCGCCGCTGTCCGTGTCTCCGACTGAGTGCCCCGACCGAGCCCAGAGCAGTGGACAAGGACCCGGAGACAGCCCAGCGACCAAGCGCAAGGCCGAGGAGATGAGCGGAGGAGGCGGCGCGGATGCTACAACTGAGCCCGCCGAGGTGGTTCACCAACCGGGCCCCGACGAGGCCATGGACTCAAATGAGGAGTTTGCAGTCCGTTTGGTGGAGACCGTGGACGCTGCCTGGCACGAGGCCTGGGAGCACACCGCCTATGGTGAGGCCGAGGACTTTGACGGCGAACAGCCGCCCGACCTCAGCCCCGAGGACCTTGCCGAGCTGGACGACCAAGCTGAAATTGAGGAGCTCACCCGCCTGGAGGGCATGAGCGTGCTTATGGAGCCGAACCCCCCAGGAGCAGGCCGAGCACCTCAGCACGGTCTTTGTGAAGACGTGGAAGAAGGGACCCGACGGATGGTTCAGAAGGGCCAGGCTGGTGGCGAGGCAGTACCGCTGGGCCTCGGATATGCTCGAGGAGGACACCTTCAGCCCAGCGAGTGTGAGTACCTTGGCGCGTTTGGTGCCACTTCTGGCCCAGAAGTGGGGCACCCCAATCTACATCATGGACGTCAAGGACGCCTACCTTTGTGTTCCCCAGCCGGAGGACGAGCCCGTGGTTGTGACGGCCCCGCGGTCCTACGTGAACAAGTTCGGTGCCAGCAAGACCTGGAAGCTTGGGCGAGTGCTGCCGGGACAACGGCGAGGCGCCCAAGAGTGGTATCACCAGCTGGCCGGCGACCTCACCAACGCCAGTCTGGAATCCATGCCAGAGGTGCCGACCCTCTACAGGGCCAGTGGCAGTGGCGAGCGGTACGTGGCACAAGTGCACGTTGATGATATTATGGCCACCGGGGACGCTGAGCCCCATGGCCGGGTGGAGAAGGACCTCACCAACCGGTACACCGTGAAGATTGCCGGCCCCTACCAGCAGCCCGGGGACGAGTTCGAGTTTCTTAAGCGACGGTACCAGATCCAGAGCGATGGTTCCATCACTGTTCGTGCCCCGGTGCGGCTGTACAACGACCTCTTCGAGTTGGCCGGCCGACCCAAGGTGAAGGCAACCCCGGGCCCTAGCGGCCAAGACGATATGTTCGCCACCGACGCCACTGAGGAGCTGAACCCGCGCGAGGCCACTGCATACAGGACTATGTTGGGAAAGGTGCTCTATATGAGCAACGAGCGGCCGGACGCCCAAGCGGTGATCCAGAACCTTTCTTCCCGGGCGGCCAAACCAACAGCCAAGGCGATGAAGCTGATCAAGCACCTGGTTGGGTACCTATGGGGGACCCAGGGCTATGGTGTGAACTTGTGCCTGGCCCCCGGCAAGTCTGTGATGAACTTCGCGCGTGGCAAGCTGACCCCCGACGAGCCCATCACCGAGCACCTTGTGGAAGGCTACTCTGACTCCAATTTCGCCAACGACCGCACCACCCGCAAGAGCTTGAGCAGCGGCCAGATCTACATCGACCAGGCGCTGATGTACAGCTTTGTGCGGGGCCAGAAGGTGGTTACTTTGAGCTCGGGCGAGGCGGAACTTGTCGCCTTGACCCAGGCCACCAGCGAGGCGATCTTAGTGCACAAGGCCTGGGTTTGGACCACGCAAGAGGAGGCCAGGCTGGTGATGAGGAGCGACTCGTCGGTGGCAAGAGCCATCGCCAGCCGATTGGGAGTCGGCCGGGTGAGGCATTTGCAAACAAGCTGCCTATGGATACAGCAGTGGGTGGCGGCCAAGACGCTACGAGTGGCGGCGGTGCCCACTCAGTTCAACCCAAGCGACATGGGCACGAAAAGCCTGCAGCAGCGGAGGTTGAAGATGCTGTGTTTCCTAGCCGGCATGGTGGACGACCATGGTAACCACATTGGCCAGGAGGAGCATGCTGAAGCCCTTGGCCGAGATGTTTTGGGACGTTCTGGCGGCGACCTTATGGTGAGAATGGTGCAGGCCTTGATGGTGATGACCATGCAGGGCTGCAGTGGGCCGGACAGCGGCCAGACGGGAATCTACCTGGAGGCGGTGTTTTTCTACTTCTTGGAGGTGTTCTACAACTAACCCGGTCTTCTTCCTTGCGGCCCTCCTCACCTACGTGTTGGTGACCAGCCGGTGGACGCTAAGCTTCAGCGTCTCGAGCCGAGGCCCAGCCGGCTCGGACGCAGCCACCCAAACAGACCACAAGACCGCCGACAAGGAGACCGAGACCGAGAAGGAGAACAAGCCCAAGGGAACCAGACCCAACAAGCAGCCCGAGAAGGAGACCAAAAGCCAAAGGGAACCACCCCGTGAGCCAGAGACACTCGAGGAGGCCCGACAAAGGTTGCATGAGACCCTGACCTACGAGGATCTCTTCCCTCCGGGACCAGGGCTTGAGCAGGCTACGGAAGTAGCCCCGGAGACTGGCGGCCAGTGCTTCCTCGTCGGCTACACGATTCCCCGCCGAGAGATCTGATGCTCGGGTGGCTTTGTCTGTACAGAGACGCGGTTTCCTAGAGTGCGCAACCAAGTCAAGTGCCTTAGCAGGGCATGACCTTGACAGCCGAGTGTTGGGTGACGGAATTCGGGTATGCCTACCACCGCCGCTCCTGCGGCAATTTGACGGCATGCCAAGAATGTGAAAAGGGTGGTGGCCCGAGAGGCCATTGCAAATGGAAAGGCGGCGTGCAACCAGTGCTTCGCAGATCACTGGGTGCCGACCGTCAAGTACAGGTTCCCGGGTTTGAATCTCTAGGTGACAGCCAGCACTTCGAAGAAGTATTGGCTGAGGGGGCGTGTTAGACCTAACAAACCCTTGTGCAGACGTTGTGTGTTGTGACAGCACAGAGCATTGCAAGAAGCAGTGTTGACATTTGCGAGCATGTACCGCAGCCCTTCCGTGGCAAAAAGACCAGAGCGAATTGTTGTTTTTCATTTCTGCTTAATTACCCTGAATGTAAAAATCCCAGGTTTGGGGAACAGAGCCGAACAAGAGCTGGAATTGTTCTGCGCGCTTGACCGAACGTCTTTGGTGCTCCGTTAGGGACATGTTGAAAAGCACAAACACCATTCCACTTCGTTGCCCTACCATACTACCAGTTCTACCGAGCCAGAACTTGATGATATCGTGTCGGAGAAACAACCTGTACAATCGAACTGAAAGCACATTTTTCATCCCAAACCCAATAGTCTGCACCTCGAGCCCCCTAAAAAGCTTAAACCCATCATAGCACTGGACGAACCGGGCGGTCGTCTCAGTGAACGTACATCCTGCCGGTTGCCGACAGGCCATACAATAAGCAGGTCACCAACCCAATCCTCCCATGTTTTCGCCTCATTGTTGTTCGTCGAACCGTTTCCGGTTTTGGGACATTGCATGTTGCTCTGCCAGGACCACGGAGACCAATGGCAGGCAGGAGACCGCAAGTGCGGTGGGCCAGCAGGGCCGTTAGGGATGCAACGAAAACTTCGGCCGCCTTTGCGCCCAGCAACGCGGCGACCTGGCGCCCCCCCACTCTTCGGTCTCCTCCGCAGATGGTGGACAAGATCTTGAAGGGTGAGCGTGCAGACACCCCGGAGGTGGATCTGTGCCTTCATCTGGCGTGAATGTCTCATAAAGTGTGCAGTCTTGGGCGGCCCGACTCCCGCACGCTTCAATACATCCCATGTCCTTCATGCTTCAGTGTTGCAAACGGCCTGAACCCTGAAGCCTGCGAAGCACTGAGAGTGATTGGAAGCGCACTGAGCTCCAAGAATTGCGCGGGGGCGACACCGAGTTGCGTCTGCAGGCCATCATGCGAGCCCGGTTCACAGCCCTCCGCTTCAAGGACGTTTGGCACAGGGCCGCTCTCTGCGTGATGGCAGAGAAAGGTAAAGTCTTGTGTTGTGTTGGGACCTGGGAGGACCCTCAGTTCTTGGCGGCGACGGAGAAGGTGGGGAGCGGATGCTCTTCTGTTCTTCTGCTCTTCTTCTTCTTTCGCTCTGTCGCTTTCGCTTTCTCTCTTTTTGTCAGGAGGAGGGCACCTCCATCAAGAAGCGCGCCGCCGGTCCGGAGCCCCACAGAGGGTGGTGTGCGCACTGCAGGGCACAGAGGGCACGGTCCGAGGCTGGGCGAAGACTCTTGGAATGGAGGAGAAGTCGGGGGGCCCCAGAGCAGAGAGTGAAGGCAGAGTGAAGGCAGACTGCAGAGATCTGCGCTCTCTCTCTCTCTCTCTCTCTCTCTCTCCTCTCTCTGCCTCTCCGCTGAGGAGTTGGGTGGACTCCCTGACGACGCTCTTCGCCTCGGAGGCGCGCTCTGCGGCTCGCAAAACGAGGGGCCCCCGCATGCGCCCGCGGACCTACTACAACAGCCCCGCCGTCCTCTCACTAGCTTCGCCACTCTCCCTCTGTCAAAGCATACCCAACTAGATCGAAACAAGCAGGTGGAAAAGAGCAGCAGAGAGACAAGCTTCATCAGATTGTGTGTTGTCTTGTTAACGGCCGTCTGCTGGTCTGGGTCCTTTGCTTTCTAAGTGGATTCTCCCCTTCTCGTGCCCGCTCGCTGCTGACCAACCCTGAGTACAAAGCGCAACCATAAATACAGTTGACTTTACACATTTGGTTCCCAGTCATCAAGGCTTGACAGATACTATGCCGGCACCAAGATGTATAAGATGTATCAGTCTCCAGCGTCAGAGATGGGCTTCCTCAATGCGCCTGCAGGCGGAGGGTCTGAGGGAGCCGGTGAACTTCGAGGCCGCGTTCTTCTCGCCCAGCTGCCATGTGGTGCGAGTCTTCATGATTGCCAGATAGGGTCCCATAGGGTACTGCCGGGTCTTTCTTCCCTTCTCACCCAAGCAGATGCTCCAAAAAGCCAAGCAAGCAAGCCCTCTTTTTGTTGAGAGGTGGTCTCGGCAGACGCGGCCCGGCCCTCGGCGCCCTCCGGCCGTATACAGCTCCGCGCATCCGCTTACCGCTTACCGCGCTCGCTGCGCATTCGCAGCGAGGAGACCGTGGAGTTCAAGATCCGGTGCCGCAACGGGAAGACGCTGCACGAGCGCAGCCGCTTCCAGAAGGCCGCAACAAAAGAAACGCGCCCCCCCCCCCTTCTGCCCCGGACTGCCCGTGTCCCTCTGAACAGAGGACCGCAAGTGGGGCTACGTCTACAGCGGCGATTCGGCCGCTCGCCTCAGTTTTTGAGTGCCTCAGCTCAGAAGCACTCTCTCTCAGGACTTCGCCGAATGGAAGTGAGCCCACGGGAGCGTCCAATCACCCCCTCTCCCCCCAGAACGCTAGGACTAGGACTTTCCGAGAGCCATGGCGCCGCCCTTCGGCCCCTTCACCAGCTTCCCTCGTTCTTGGGGCAGGGATCCCTTATTCGAGGATTTTCACGCGTCTTTCACCCTTTTCACAGCAAATTTTCGTCCAGAGAACCGCCTCCGAGCCGAGAGAGAAAGGAAAAGCAACAACGCGCGTTGCTGCGTTCTGTCGTGCTCGAAGAGAGGCTGTTGCAGTTGCAGCAGAAAGCTGCCCAAGCGCCCACAAGCAACCCTTCTACTTCTATGGAGATTCCTTGCTTGGATTCCTGCCCTTTGTCCGCTGATCTGCGGCTGCAGTTTGCATCCTCTTCGATGGAGCTGGAGTGCACTTGAAGACATGATCTATAGTTACTAGTTGCATGTCGAGAAGTCTTAGATCATTCTTGACGTGTTGTTGCTTTTGGTTCCTGGGTCCGCCATGGCCGGTTCAGCGGCTAAGGAAAAAGGCCGGGGTTACAGGGAAAGCTTTCGCCTTTTG